GCTTATGATGAAGATCTTTTATGAATGATTGACATGACTTGTGTAAAGTTTATTTGTGTCTTGTTTTGTGTTGTCAATGTAAGAGCATTTAATGCTTTGTAAAGTTAGGAGAGTCAACTTGATGGTTATGATTTGATGTCTTGGCCGAGGAGATGAGGCCACGTGTAAATTGATCCAAAAGTCACCATTTGAGTTGTAGCACTATAAATACCCCCACCATGTAACACAATGGGGACTAATGCAATTTTGAAGAACAAACTGAATACTTGGAGCAACATCTTCCTTCAAACAGTGATTCTCACAACACATTTTCCACTACAAATCGTCCTTTATTGATTAGTTTCTCATACAATCGTATTACATTATCTTTGTCGGTAGATTGAACGGAAACGTCTCTTGTCTTTGAGCCACTCCCACGCTCTCTCCCTGGAGCCATCCTGACCGTTGATCGGCATTAGCGTGTTGGACCAAGCTCGCGTGTGCACGAGTGGACCCGGCATCTGTTGGCAACATTTTTTTGGGTCAACATAGCCATTTTTTTTCTTCCTCCCAACATGTCTCTTCCTCCTCAGCCTTTCTTCCAATTCCAGCCACCACTGCATCTCTTCTCCAATGCTTCAGTAGTCACACACCTTCTTTTCTTCTAATCATATGTTTTACTTACTGTTTCTTCCATCCGTATGCATTTCTTTGTGTCCGACACACGTCGACAACGTATCGGAGACGTACCGGTGTCTGACACACTGATACGTAGACACCAACAATGTGTCGGTGCTTCCCAGCTTGACATTCTTGCCACTAATCAAGAGGTGAGGACGTGCAAAAATCATTAAATGCTTGAGAAGTGCTTATAAATTGTTTAATTTATAAATCAGATAGAAATAAGTGATTGATAAGTCGATAATACTTAGCAGTCCCATTAAATGTGTGAATTGAAAGTAATTTGGTCGACTATAAATAACTCATAAACATTAGCCAAACGTGGGCTGAATCTGATCGTAATAATTGGCTTTAAGAAGCACCGACATGGATACGAGTGTCCGACATGATACGTGTTGGATACGTCGATACGCGATTTGTTGAAAAAGTTTTGGCACAATACGTTGTCGACACGTTGATTAAAATATTATTCTTTTTTTAAAAAAAATTAATAGTCTAAAATAATAAAATGTTTATACCTATTACATGAATATACAAATAATTAAACAACAATTAGAATTAGAATTTGATTTTTTATTGAGATAAAATGATAAATTAAATGGTAAAAAACTCGATCTACATAAAAATTTACCTTTTACTTTGATAAAGGGTAAAGCTATAGAAAAAGTCTTATAATTTATAGAGTATTTAATATAATTTGGACTCATTTAAAGACCATTTAAAATTTTGTACCCAATTTGAATTGAAAATGATATTTAGAGCATGTTTGGTGCACATTAAAATGAGAGAATGTATTTTTTTGAAGTGACGTGATGGAAAATATGTGGTTGAAAATGAAGGAAAAATTATTGATGTGATAGAAAATATTATTTTATTGAAAAATGTGTGGTTAAAAATGAGCAGAAAAATGAAAATGAAAAAAATAATGTGTGTCAAATAGGGGCTTAGGGTTTACTACCATGAACTTTTCTTTTCTTCCTCTACAGACAGCCGTTTCTTTTTTTCCTCTCAACCTTTCTTCCAATTCCAGCCACCACTGTTTCTCTTCTTCAATGCTGTAGCAGTCACACACCTCTTCTTTTCTTCTAGCCATATGTTTTGCTTATTGTTTCTTCCATCCATATGCATTTCTTCGTCTCCGACCATATGCATTTCTTCGTCTCCGGCACGCGTCGGAGACGTACCGGTGTCCAATACGTGTCGGACACTGATACGTAGACGCCGGCAACGTGTCAATGCTTCCATGAATTGGCTGATGTACGTACCAAAAACAATTGGATTCTTACATGGACAACCAATTAATATTCGGAAAAATGGAGTGGACAAACTTCCTACCTACCTCGTCCTTAACCCCAAGTTTTTATCTAGCGAGTTATATCAGTTGTCACCTCCCGAGGTTAGTATGCCAACATGTACACACAAATCTGGCAGCAAATCTACCTCCAAAATTGCGTCACTTTTGTCCTAATTTTTTGAATTCGAGTTAACAGGATTTGGCTCTTGCAACCTTGTTGGTGAGACCAGTAGGTTTCCACGAAGGACAAGAATTTCTGAAAGAACTGGCTCTTTCAAAAGAAAACTATGGTTTGGTTCGACGTGTTTATTTGATTTGTGAAAATGATAATGTTTTAAAGCAAGGATTCCAGAGGTGGATGATTGAAAATAATCCAAGTGATGAGGTCAAAATGATTTCTGGTGCAGATCACATGGCTATGTTCTCTAAACCTCAAGAACTGTGTTTCTACCTACAAGAGAGAGCGGAAAATTGAATAAAGCTATTCCAATTTCTTTCCCTTTTTGGTTGTCATGGCCCATATAATTAATTTCCTGGAGGGGGACTTGTGTATGAAGGAAAACTGAAATAGCATTAGACTATGTATAAATAAGGTCTTGATCCTTGATTGAGCTCACATTATTCTTATTGTCCGACTGTCATGTTGTTTTCGTCAACGAAATTGTTGATTTAGTAATTAATATCAATCTTCTTGTGCATCTTGTTCTTGTTCTTTTTTGTTTTGACAATAACTAGTACAAATATTCTCTTATTTGGTTTAGTTAAAAACAAATTTTTTAGTAAATTTTGAAAAAAAAATTGTATGTCCCATAAAATGTGTTGGAAGAAAAATACGTTCTTAAAAATGATGGTCAAACAAGGGAGTGATATTGTTTCTTCAAAATAAGCCTCCGCATTCAATTTACTCGAAAAACAAGTCTTCCTACTAATATCAAGATCAAGATGTGAAGTTAAAATGACGACAACAATGTAGCAATATTACTATCATAAGAAGACACAAAAAAGCTTTAAAAAAATATCTTTCATTGTGTTGTTTCAATCATCCACCACCTGAATTCCGGGGATATTACTTCATCTTCAGTTGCTAGCTACCATAGAAACTTGAGGGGTGCATCCAAATTTCTCATGAGTGATCGATTTTATAATTTAGACAATATAATTTGGATAACTGTATAATAAATAAATAAAATAGGAGACCAAGAGTAAAAGAAAGATGGCCTTTTGGAGAGTTGTGTCATCCTAAAGTGATGTGGTCTCCTCTTTGTACGGGTATTAGGCACTATATAACTACAATATATAACTCTTAAATCTCGAAAGGTCAATTATCCTTCTATGTGCATGACTATAGAGATAAATTAAACAAGCTTTCTTCTTGTTGCCCAAGACACTAATAAATTCACAAATGTTTTATCTTATTGGGTTATTGCATTGTTCTAATAAGACATCATTTGTTTTAATACTCTACAAATAATTGTTCTCTCTCTCTCTCTCTTTTATTTCATTCGATATTTTTGTTCCACTGGATTTTTATCATATCAAAGCTTTTAAAGAAATAAATATTGTGTGATTAGTCATTAAAGGGGTAATGTTGTAAATTAAACATCGAAATACTATTATGTATATCACCATAACCCTATTTGTTATGGGTATTATACCCCCAACAACTCCTAACTCTTATCGATAAATATATGACTTTAGTTTTGAATAAGTTACATGAAAGTCTATTTACTTTCCTTATTCTTTTCTCTCTAATTTAAGACAATTACCTAATTTTGTAATTGATCTCTTCTTATATATCCCATCAACAAGTAAAATGTCCAATATTTAAGGGAGGAAAAAAAACTAAATATAATCTCTGAATTTTTTATTGGAATCTTACTTCAAATTTTGAGTTGGGCATTTTTTTAAACATTATCCATAGGTCTACTGGCTCTAGGGCTAGGCAAAATGTCCGAATCGAACCGAATCGAGCGGATTTTTTTAAATGAAATACCCGAACGGGTATCCGAATCGAGAACCGAATGGTTTGGTTAGGTTTTCGGTTCTAGACCCAGAACCGAAGAACCGAATAAGAACCGAAATTTTTTTTTTTTTAATATTGGATAAATCAA